AGATAGATAGATAGATGGATGACAGAGCATTTTGAGGCCTTTGACACAATTTGTGGTCACATAGATTTTTTTTAATTATTTGTCTTGATTCAAGTGAAAGTAATTTTGAATCCATATGAGTAAATACTCTTGAAATGATCATTAACACTTTGCAATCAATTTAGTAAACAAATGCTGCTTCCAAACTAAACTGAAGCCAAGAAGGTGGACAGTTAGTCAGCTCTGACGATGAATATGCACATATTAGCATGCAAGGCAAAGTGCCAACAATAACATGGGAAGCATTCAAATGGTATTTTTAGCACAGTCTTGCAATTTCATATCTCCATACCAAAATTCATGGCAGAGACTAATAATTTTAATATAAACTGATACTACTTTGCACTTCAAAAGAAGCTTCTGTTTTGAAATTTACAAAATGAACAATCAAACCAATCAGTGGGTCAAGGCTTTCAGTCACACAAGTATAATAATTTATTTAGGTATCAACTGATTATACTCCATAGTCTGCTTTTCCTAGTAGAAGACCTCATTCCTTAGCTAATTCTTGCTTATGCTCTTTCTGAGTTCTTCCTTGCCAGATAAGGCATTGGCTTTCCCTTCTGGTAGAATATAAGCTTTGCATGTTGAAAGCTTATGTTTGATTCCTTAGACCTCAAAAGAGGCTTGCAAAGTCTTTGCCTGAAATTATGAAGAGCAGTCCAGTCTTTGGTTATGCCATCTTCTATCACCCAGACCTCCTAAACAGCAAAGTGTCCCATCAGATGGGCAATGTGTTTCTATCCACTATGAAGCTCTCAGCCCCCAATGGCTACCACTGCCCAGGACTCACTCTTCATGTGGCAGAATGAATCCTATGATCTAAGCAAGAGATTGGGAAGGGTAATACATTTGGACAAAGTCCCCAACTAATGCTGTCAGGACCTAGTGCCTGACACCCACCTCTGCCATGCTGTTCAACTTTCTGGGCCAGTGGCCTCTTCAGAGTGAATGAAATGTTGGGGGGTGAGGTGGAAAGGTCCTCAGAGGGAGGCATTGTTGGATACACAATCT